TATAAAGTGATTATTTTTTGTTACTTAACTCTCGATATATGGTGTGCCAGGGTTGCCGGTAATCAAAAAATTGTAAAAAGTGGGAATTAATGTTAGGCCGCCCTCGTTTGATGTAGAGGTGTAAATGAATTGCTTTGCAAGTGTAAAATTTCATGTATAGCTAGCATCGTTTTCGAATTATCGGTAATGCTCAGGGTAATAATTGTCACAGAACAGGTGTCGGACTAACTTCATACTCGTATATTGCGATTATTAATGAATTCTCCAGAGATTTACCTGACAGCGAACATAGCTCTTACATTAATGTGTCTTTTCTTATCATAAAAGTCCCACTGAAACCTTTTTACTCGATAGTCATCACATATAACTTCATTTTTTTTTAAGTTGGTGAAATGGATTCTTCATTCAGGTCAAAATAAAACTTTTTATACGAGTTTTAGTCTAACGTGAACCCTCACTTGCAAGAACATTTTTGCTTGTAGGCGGTAGATTTTAGCCGTCTGGGTCGAAACATTACATGGGCAAAAAAATTATCTTAACCCTCTCGTAACTGCATGGCGGGCATGGTGGGCACAAGTCACTAGGTACCAATAGCATTGACGACGGTAAATTTACCCGGATCGAAAGGTTAACTTTAACTTATACAAAGAAACGGCCATTGGTACGATCATCTTGTTAATATTACGTAAATCGTTTTCGATGAAAAATGAGGTTGCGACCATTTCGCTATAGGTTATTTTTATTACATAAACAATAACGTTATATTTTATAATAACAAAGAGAGATAAATAATTTCAGGCCTAAACAGTTTTAAGACATTGTATTCAAGGCCAAATCATTGACTTATATTTCTGAAAATGCCTATTTTACTTTGGAAGACTTGCCATAGACCAGAAGACATTGGATCGGAAGACACATTAAAAAAATATAACTCAGTACTCACTGCAGTGAGTGACGGAGAGCGCATTTTCTCGTCGACGAAAACATTAAGACACGTACGGACAGACAGACGGACAGACAGACGGACGGACAGACGGACGGGCAGACGGACATGGCAAGCACAATAGTACATTTTTTCATAAATGAGAAAATGCGCTAAAAACAGTAATTCTGAGGTCATGTGAAATTGAAGGATTGATACTTAAATCGTGAATATCGTGATTGTGGCAGAACAGCGGCTCAAAATACGATGTGAAATTGTAAGGGATAGAAATCAGCGTTATTTAACTATCGGTGCATTAATGGTCTACGTTGTTCATTATCCGGAATTTTATATTGTCATTTTAATTTAGAGTGTACTTAAGGCCAAGTGCGGAAAGATGAGGTGATATGGTCATTGTTGTGTGGAAAGCCGGAGCGGAGGCATGCACTGTGTTAGAATGTCAAAATGTAAATATATAGGTGAATTAATTAGATGTGGAATTGATTTGTGAATATATAGGGTTTAGAAGTTTGTAATGTTCGTTCACTCTCGATTATTTATCGGTTTTTATTTGTTTCTTTTGTAGGAAAGCCTCAAATCTCAGACCAAAAGTTTCTCAAATCTACAGTAAGACTCGAATCTGCAGCTAGACTCAAGTCAAGACTTGCCCAAGATGAAGTGAAGTGTTGATGTGCTAATGTTATTATTTATTGATTATTTACAGTGTTAATTTGAGTGGTGAAATAAAGTGTTTTAAAAGTATTCATCAATATCCAGAACCTATATACGATCATGTAGGCTAGTTGGGTGTTCTGAGAGCCCCAACAAAATGAAATGATGTGATTGCTTGGAAATGTGATCAACAGCTTGGTTCAGAAAGACCAAAGAGGTTACTGGCTACACACTATTTATGTCATTAATTTGTTAAGGACTAAACCTTGTATCTAAATTTTAAGCGATCAGAAGTGTTCGTCAATTCGAGCTTGCCGAAAAGGAAAATCATTGGGATCGTGATTTTTTTTTTCAGGACAAATAACGACTAAAATTATTCATTGAAACTTTCATATGCCAACTTATTCTCAATTTTGCCGGTATCGCTATATATTGTTTATTCATTATTCGAACAATAGGTAGACGAGCGTGTGCACTGTGCATTTAAATTTTTTAGTGAACAGTGCTAATAGAATGTTTCGTAAGAACATATTAATTTTAATACAATTTTACCCTTTGAATTGTCACACCTTCTCTTAAATTTCCTCAACTTAACTCTGGTTCCTGGCAAGAGCCGATTTTATTCCCCATGACTTATTAATTTATAACACAATGCAGATTTGAACGAGTGACACTTCACCTTAAGTAACGATACCTTCGCTATTTAGGGTGAATATTATTCTTCGTAACGATGCTGCCTTCACTGAATATTATTCTTACGCCGTTAATTAACTAAGTTGAAGATCTGCATGAAAATTGCGATTTATGAACACCTACCTGATGTGATTAATTTGATTATTTTGATTCGGTGTTTGATATTTTGATTCCTTTTATTATGAGTTTTTCTCGTTTAATGTTTATTTTAAACCATTACAGCAGAAATATTGTGTGTAGTTTCAGTTTTATATTTTCGCTTTCTTCTTCATAATCGAAAATAGCTGTATTAATAATCAATAAAAATATTTGCCTACCCCTCGAGATTGCTCGCGTAAACTCCGAATTTTGTTCTATATTACATTTATATTACATTCGAGTAGAAGATGAACGTGAATAACAGACGCGTTAGCTTGGATGCCTAAATTGAAAAATTCGGTAGAAAAAATCAATTGAAAATAGTGCTTCCATTCATTCAAATATGATGCTTTATTTCTCTTTGTCAGCTGAAAAACTTATTGTAATTCCTTCGGTGGTTGATGAATTATTACGTTTAAATTCGTTAAATCGCTCTAATTAAGTGCACTATTTAAAGGAAAGAGCATTAATTAATGTAGGTAATGATGCTAAGTTTACAACTATAACAAAAAAATTAGTGTTATCTGAAAATTATTATTTCTTCAAGATATTAAATGATATTTATGCATTTTAAGACTGGTTTAATAATTGTTAAATTAAGTATTACAGCATGCATTTTTATCGACTTTTTATCCTAATGGCACCGTCTGAATAAAGGATAATGAGCCAATGAATGTTTAAATTTAAGAGTTTTGGTGGTTTGAAAGAATTAATAGAACGAGAGAGATAATATTAAAAACTTTAATAATATGATATGATGCTCGATTGCTTTTTAGTAGCGGAATATTTTATAAAACGATTTAAATTCACATAAGCCATAGCCTTAGCAGTGTCATTTTCCATGCTTCATCAGTATAATTAATAATTTATGTACTGTGATTAAGACAAAATTGAACATATATGTCTTCCCCAAAAAGGGATATCTCTTCCCCATTTAAGTCTATCTAATTTTATTAGGTGAAGGTCAAGAATCACTTCCGATTAACCGGCTACAAATGAACTAGACGGCAAACCATAAAAACTGGACATGCCTGTCTCGTTGCTGCGTCATCTCCGGGTCTAAAATGATCGCGACAGTCGAGGTCATAACACTGCATTGAATTTATTTATCATGTGACCTCACATTTACCTTATTTCTTATGTGACCTCACATTTACCTTGTTTATTATGTGACCTCGCATTTACCTTATTTATTATGTGACCTCACATTTACCTTATTTTTTATGTGACCTCACATTTACCTCATTTAATATGTGACCTCAAATGCTGGTCATAGCAGTACCCCCATTAAATTCTACTAGAGCTATCTACAATTATGTAGATAATGTAGAAGACACTGTTGCTATGCAACAATTGCTGATTTTCAGCGTTCAGTTCCATGATCAAACGGAAGATCTGATGAACGTTTTTCTTACATGAGACGCTTCGAAATAACAAACTTAATATTTTATCGACAATCTTAATGGGAACAAGCAATAGAAAGTGAATGAGTAATTTTTATATCTGAACCATAGTTGTTTTGAGCCCTAAATTTCAGATTTCTCTTTAGAGTCAACATCCAACATAAGATAAAGTAGCTAATGAAGTTACCTGCAAAAACATGCAAAACTTTCTTCTATATAAAACAGGCCCAAACAATATTGAAGCTCCTACTAATAATGGTATGCACAATCTTAAAGGTATTGAAGTTACCCTCAGTAGCATGTAAACTTAATCCAAAAAATATGCATTTAAAAATTACTTTTTAAAGATAACGCTTCTAAAGAATCCAGTGTCTCCGATGCTACACATGTACAATGAATTTCTAAATTGTATTATCATATATTAAAAAAATAATCATTACATGCTAATAAGTATGTAATTCAATATTACATACTTGTAATATTGAATTACATTAATATAAGACATGCTCGTTTATTTTTGAAATTTAAATTTTTTGTTTAATTTTTCAAAATCATTTATTCTGTCAATTGATACGAGCATTGTCTCCGACTTTACGCAAGAGTGCAAAATTTCAGATCGATTGGAGAGGAAGAAGTGTGTTGAATATCGATTATAAGATTTGTAGCAGACAGAAAACAAACAAACAACAAGAAGTGAAGTTAAAGAGAAGTGTTGTAAAAAAACCAACACGATCCAAAAATTACTAAAGTTGACCATAATAACCTGTAAACATTCCTCTAAAACTGACCATTACAATCCAGAAACTATTAGATCCCTTTAATAAAATGTGAAACTTCCCCCTAAAACAGGCATTGGTCGAGCGTTTCACGTGTGAATGGTATGCCTCCCATCCATCCCGTAATGACCGAAATTTTTAGCGCATTTTCTCATTTATGGAAAAAATGCACTATTGTGTTCGCCATGTCCGTCCGTCCGTCTGTCTGTCTGTCCGTCTGTCCGTGACCTCAAGTTTTCGTTGACGAGAAAATGCGCCCTCTGTCACTCACTGCAGTGAGTACTGAGTTATATTTTTTTTATCAAACTAGACTACTCCCTTTAAGTGCTGTGCCTTGATGAACTCTAAATTCTTCCGGCCGGCCTCTCGTCCATTCATTTGATATTCGCTTCCTGAAATACCTCCACCTTGAGATCATTATAAAAGACGGCAAAATTTCTCTAAGATCATCACACATCCTCAACTCTCTCAACATGAAGCTGGTAAGCATCACCAGCTCTCATCACTGAATATAATAAAATATTGTTCAATGCTAATTTAGTTCGAAATATCACTACTGGACAATGTGGAACTCATAAGAGCAAGCGGTTTAACATCATAGTTACAAAATATGTGACTATTTAATTAAGTGTTTCTTTCACTGCTGCTACAATTTTTAATACGTAATTGCAAGAAATTTGTTTAGAATCATTCGTAACATTAGAATAATCAAAAAACTTAATTCTGTCTGTACTCGCTCGTGCATAAATTGGTATCACACTTTATTTTCCATTAATGAAATCGAGTCGAAAATCATATCAGTGTGCGTCTATCATCATACTTCTATGCAGGTTTTCAGCTGCAAAGTTGTGATATATAACTTTCATAATTTCTTAGTTTTGACGCATGAACTTTTAAAAATTATTCAAGACAACTACATAAGTTATTACAGTGGGTTTTAAAGTTTTCTATCGACTCATTAACTAAGTATTTAAGGCTGAACTATAATTTGGATCGGAAGTACCCAAAACTAGATTACCTACATGAAGAACTGAGTTCAGAGAAGTAGTTAATTCAACAAAGTAATTTTTATGTTCTATAATGAAACCGAATTATTCAGCCTTTTTGTGGAAAGAAGCTTTCCTCGCTCTAAGGTCATACTTTCCATTGGCTTCGACAATTTTCCTAAATAATTTCAAATCCTAACCCGAAATTCGCATGCAATATTCAGAATTCACTGACATATTACACGTTTTCTCTAATAAGCGAAAATTCATTTGCACCTCTGTATGGATGACCAAAACATGTTTGGTTCATTCTAAGTTAGTTTACGCTGCAAACATTAGTATGCGTACCTTACTAATATTCAGTTATCCTACCACTTAATCCTCTAATATCACATTAATGTTTCCGTGTGCAGTTCTTACTCGCCGCTGTTGTAGCCTCAGCCCTTGTGGCGGTGTGCGATGCTGGTGGAAAAGGTTTCCGTGGTGGATTCGGTGGCGGTTTCGGAATAAATGATAACTTCAAAAGAATATTCGAACCCGAAGTGTAAACTGTTCATGACGGGACATAAATAAAATAATTTATTCATTATCATGCGTATTATTTCAACTCTCTGTACTCCTTGGTATATGGAAAAAAATACCCGACTGTTTTAGTCGTAGTCTTTGGCAGAGTAATGGAAATGTATGCATATAATTTTCCGAACATCAATATAGGTTAATTATTTGCTAAAATACTTAATTTGAGACTGTGAAATTGCCATTTTGCTGCTAAGTTCTTGACTCAGTTCACCGGTGACAGTATGTGGTAAGAGTGGATAACGTCTACAATAATTCCACATCATTGCCTCTATTTCGCTCGAGAGAAAGATCAATAAATATTGAATACAGGTATTCAATACACAAGAATTCAATATCACGTTATTCGTAATGACGTGATAATAATATTTTAGTAATAGTCCATCTCGGGCAATGCCAATTTCTTTAAAAGTCCATTTCATTTTAGCGAAATTTTGTGGGTTTGTGCGGGTTTTTGACACCTGCGTAGCTGTAAATATACGGGAGCTATTTTAAGTCCAGAGGCCATACTTTCAAAACTCGCTAAGTGAACGTTAGTACTTACGCTCTATTTTCTTGCCGATGATTGGTGGATTTTGCTTGAAAGGCCGTCAATGATTGGCTGATGAACTTACGATCTCTTAACTGTTTTTAAAAGAGTGGCTTGAAAGGCCGTCAATGATTGGCTGATGAACTTACGATCTCTTAACTTTTTTTGAAGGTATTGGCCCAGTCCACAATAATATCCTCACCGTGTTAGGATATTACCAGGTCGTGGGAATTCATTTCTGTTGAGGGAAGCGTAAGGCATTATATTACGCAAGAAGAAATCGAATATTAACATCTATTTTCTGTTTTGATTCATTAGATAAATTTGAAATTTATTTTGAATTGTTCTATCAGTTTACATCAAAAGCTCATATAGATTAAAAGCTCAAATAGCCAACGAACCCACTACTATATAATATAACACTTATATAATATATAACACTTTTCACTGACAACCAAAACACATTAGATAATACTACACTAGTTATTGTACAGAAATTTACGCTGAGTCATTGACTCATGCTATACTCCCGTACGAGTGATGTACTACTGTACACTGAACATAACATAACATAACATAACATAACATAACATAACATAACATAACATAACATAACATAACATAACATAACATAACATAACATAACATAACATAGTAATGTCGGCGCTGATGAGTAGGCCTGATGTGGCCGTTCACCGATTCTTGTACTTTTCATAACTTGTTCACGGAAGACCTAAAATCATGTCCTTTGACCTGATCTTTTCAAGACTGACGATAGTTTGAACTAGCTACTAGACTTCCACCGGGATCGATATGGTGCTAGACATTTCAAAATATATGCAAGACATATATATTTGCACATCGTTATCTAGTCTGTTCGTGAACGCTTTCGTACTCGGTGTGCCATCGATGCAATCGGGGAGGCTGTTCCACATGTCGGTGACTCGAGCGAGATGAAATGTTGTCGCGTGGATGAGTTGCACCGCGGTTTTTTTAGTTTATAGTCGTGGCCCCTGGTGTTGGTTCTTGTTTCGAATTCTAGTAATCGAAGAAGAATCAAATATATTTAAAGAATCAAAGATATACAAAGAAGAAATCGTGTATTGTTGTATTACGCTGCTGGTCACTATTTAAAAAATTGAAAGTTTGTTAAATTGATTAATTATGTTTGACAACTTTTAGAATTGGTATTTTAAGTAATTATTTCTGCCCACTGCTGATCATACTTGCACTTGATTCATAATAAAACATAGAGCGATCTGCCTACTAATGGTGAACACAAATTCCTATTTACGAAGGGCCTGTTCCTCATAATTATTTAAAATGGAACAAAGTGTTGTAGTTAAAATTACGTTAGGTAAATATTACTCATGTTTAACGTAAGTTATTGTTATCGATGTAATTGGGTAAAGTGGCTCTGTTCCCACAAAACTAGCCATAATTTTAAACATGTTTTCATAATTTTATACATGTTTGCAACCACTCATTGTTATGCAATTTGTAAACTCAGAATTTGAGGGGAAAAATAAATCTTTTTCATCACATTATGGAGGAACCTTCGATGGGGTTTTAGTAGCAATGAAAATAGGACATTACTGTACACAGGTTCCACGTATTCTAGAGATCCTGCTTGTTCTCAGATCCTACTGATTTAAACTAATTAAAGAAATTTAGAAACTAGTAGGATCGCTATATTCAATTAGAGATTACTACTTCTCTGAATAACTCCAAATTATTATAACTACTAAAATTGAACATTAATATGCGTCAACTTAAAATGATGGTCACACAATCCGCGGAGTCGGTCTCCATATCCACACACGCATTACACGATCGAAGAAAGTGGGAAGATTTTAAGAAGAACTTCCGCGATCTTTGACTTATTACCAGGATATTTATTACAGAATATTGTAATATTTAAGACCCTTTCATAAATACTTTAGCTGGCATTAGCTAGTGAATATATTAGGTTATAGCTAAATTTTTTAGTTACCCCGCATGTTGAGTATAGCATCGCGATGCTCGTGTTTGATAATCCCTGCAAATTTCCAATCCCGAATATGGTGGTGAAAATGTTAAATAATGAAAAATAGACCCATTCCAACCCATATATTTAGTATGAGTAGCACCAGATCGATCATTTCTCAAAATATGCAGAAAAGAAATTTTGTGTATATTTGTGTATCCTAATTTTGATCAATTATAGGATCCTGATTATGTCTCTAAAAAGCAAAAAATGAATTATATGAATCGATCTTTACTAAGTTATCAATGAGTCATGGCTCACATCTTCTCTGATACGTTTAATTTCGATTAAATTCTAGATTAGAGCTTCCAGGCTACGGTTGCTATTGTAATAGTTTTTTTTTATTTTACGATAATTTGTATTTTACAATAAATCAGTCACTTGTAGACATTTAGTATTACTGTGACGGGGCGGATTCCACTCCTATAAAAAACTTCATTAAATGCTTCTAAGAAAATCGCATCATCGGTTATATCTTGTTTGAGTGATTTTTCAAAAGTTTTTATCGTGATATTTTTCAGAACATTCTCCACAGGTAAATCAAAAGTAAATAATAATCTTTTATAGAGACGAATGTTCCAACGCTGAAACCATTTGCCAACTGTTCTAAATCAGTAGAAAATTGTATGTTTGAAAATCATGTGAGGTTGGAAACTTGAACTTCAAATTAGCCAATCACTACCTGACTCATCAGCAGCAAGTAATAATTAAACAACCTGGTTAGTTAACGGCTAATTAGGGTGCTAAACTTAAAGTCAACCATTAGACTGTTATCCATTAGACTGAAATCATCACAAGACTGTTCAGCAATATTAATAAGACGGCTCGTTAACGCTACTCGAAGCGCTACTGTAAAATACGATTAATTATTGAAACAATTCCCATTAATCCTTTCGTTGTCATGAAATGTTTAGAAGTAATCGTCCGCTGATTTTTACCGTAATGAATATGATATCAATATCACGCATCAAATCTGCTCATAAATGTTAGTAAGAATACTGAATTAGTTGTATTTCTGAATTTTTATCAAGCCGTTTTGCAGCATTCATTTTAACACATGCAATAAGACTGCCTGTCATGAAAAGAGTTGCAAATACAAATGCATAGGAAGTAAACAAAATAGCTTCCAATAAAATGGTTATGTGCTATAAAAATTCAGTAAATTTGTATTTAAATTTATAAATAATAGAAATGGCATATTTTGAGATTAATAAATCCGATTAAGGCTGACTCAAAAGCCACCTGGCCCTTTACGCATCCATAAGAGGAGGCGGTATCCTACAGCCGAGCGCGGTATCTCTGTAGCCGCAATGTAGAGCATTGAAAGTACGATCACCGACGCCCAGAGTTTGCACAACCAATGAAAAAAACCGACAGTTTACCGAGAGCGAATTGTGTTCACCATTCTAGGAACGGTATATTAGAGGCATGCAAAAAATCTACGTTCATTCTGTCGACCTCCTTTCGCCAGGCTCGATCGCGTGCTGCTTTTACCCCTCCTCGAATCTCTGGCTGAATATCAAGGGCCAACCCCAGAGGCGAAATTTCTGTCTCCTTATTGAAAATCATAGACTTATTAACGGTGGATTTAAAAATAATGTACCCTAAGCCGCATTATGTTGTTTTTAATTGAAATTTTCTATACCGTCAAGCATCACTTTAATTTTTTTAACACATGAGTTTTTCTTAAATTATAATATTTTAACATAAATAGAAACAATTTTTTTTTTCAATTGCGAATTTCGTCATACTTCTTGCCTAGAATATCAAAATTAAGGAAAATATTTCGCTCACTAAGAATATACTAAGTACACAACGACTCCTACAGTTTAAATTCGGAACATAAATGAAGTCTGTGATCATTTTTCCTCCCTCTCAAGACGTTGCGCGTGCAACACGGCCTAAAAGTTGCGTATGCAACTTGGCGTGAACGGTTGATAATAATTAACGAGCAACGCGGCTTTGAAGTTGCATGCGCAACACAGATTAATGTTACGTGTGCAACACGGAATAAACGTTACATGTACAACATGGTATTAAACGTTGAGTGTGAAACTATGCATGTACACGGTCTATAGAAGTATACTCAACTTTGCTTTAAGTCGTAGCAATTGCCAAACGACTCCAATATTGCATGAAAGTACGCATAACTGCTATTCATTTTCCCACGTTTGACTGGACCATGCATCAGAAGTGTGTATATGTATATATGGCCTGAATTCCATGTATAGTTTTTTAACGAAATCGCTCAGTCCATGAAGTGAACTAGGCACTCAAGATGATGGCTCCAGTTGCCCAGATGCCAGACAACAAATCGACGCTCGTAAGGCACTTGAAATTTAAATAAATTCCAATGCTTTTATGTTCATACGCCATCCTGATTTCGATATATATAGTAGTTAAAATAGTGATTATGGTTTCTAAAGAATTTTTATGCCCGAAATGGTGATGTAACAAA